CTTCTCTCCAGCAACTATTCTTCAATTCTATCCTCTGCGCCGGTTGCTCCGATTGGTCGGTGGGTACGTCTCCCCTCTTCATTTCAGCTTCTCTACTCAAGATTTGCTTTTTGCCCTCCTTTTTCTTATGCCATCTGACCTCAATCCATTTCCTCATTCTTTTTTCCATCTGTTTTTTCCTTTTTTTTTTTCTCTTGCTAGCCTTTCTTCTCTTGATTGCAAGATTTCATCCTCACTCGCTAGCCTTTCCCAAAAAAGTAGAGTTTGTCAATCCTCTTCCTCTTGGGTTTTTGGTGCCTCATCCGAGATCCCCTTTCCATCTCCGGAATGTCGACTCTACGACTCCCCTTTGTTGGAATTCACCTCATTATTTAATTGTGATTCCATCTCTACCCTTTTGTTTTTCCTTTTTTCAATATGCTTTACAGTTCCATTCTTACCCTTTTCACTGCCATTGGACTTGACCCCGAATTGGTTCAGCCTACTTTGGCCCAAAGCACAGGAAATTTGTCTTGGGCTTGGGCTTTGATTTGGTTGGCTACATGTATTAGGATAATCTCTGCTTATCTTCATAATACCACCCCTTTTGTCATCTGCACTCTTCAGAGTATTATCCGAAGTAGCCTCTCTACCATTCACCTCGGGTTCCTCATCCGCAGCCAGTGAGTTTGAATTTTGACATACTGCATTTAATGAGCCCTCATGCCGATAGATCTTTTCAGAGATCTTTACTTCTTCCATACTCATATTCATTGACCGTTCTGACTCCGCCGGTGCTAATTCTGCCATCCCCGGGAATTGCTGCACTTCATCATCCTCCTCTGCTACTTGCCAATTACTGTCCCATTTACCATCTTCATGAAAGTCGCCGTTGGACTCATCCGACCATTCCTCTGAAATTGATCTCTTAAGACCCTTTGAATGTTCTCCTGGATTGGGGTTAAGATAAGGATTTTTGCCACATCTAATCTCTTCTTTTTTATTGTGCTATCATCTAGAGATATGAATTCTCCAAATAAATGGGCCACGGTTTTAAAGAAACTGCTTCTCCAAATGTGAATGGGGACACCTTGGCATCTTAGCCAAGTAAACCTTTCAGAAGCTACTTCCGTTGGCGTCCACGGTCTCACATCGGAAAACCGTTGAGCCAACCAATCCTTCCCTTGTTCAACTAAATCCTTTAACTCCTCATGATCTATAGATGAAAGCAAGACTAACTTTCCTCCCATCGGAGTTACTTTAGCGGAAAAATAGCCCTCCATAAGAAATTTGTCTTGAAGAGTGCTGATGATCTCCGGCCTTTTTGCTATACCCACAAAGCAGTCTTTAAGCCATTTCAGATCTTCTTCCTCTGCCAACACCTCCAGACCCTGCCATTGATCTTGATCCGCTCTACTCTTACGCCACTGTTTCTTGATGCCCTTGTCATATACTATCTTACTACTGCTTTTGCATGATTCCTTCGGCCGTTTATGACGGCTTCTGCATAAGATACTGTTATCGGCTTGTTGCTGTGTTGGATTGCAGAGTGAGATTTTTGTTTAATCTGATCTTCAGCGTTGGAGAATCTGGCCACATTTGCTTGGATCGTCCTCTGCCCGACTTTGATCTGGTTCAGTTTAATCTCCATGCCTCTGATGTTCTTCACCTCCAGGAATCGAACAAATCCAAAGCTCTGCCCCCACTTGTCCTTTTTCTTTGCCACATATACATCTATCGCCCTTCCACATCTGATAAAAGCTTTCCACATTTCACCTGACCTCCAGTCATCAGGAAAGTTAGTAAAGAAAAAGGATACAACTTGTTCTAAAACACCTTTGCCGTATCCTTTGGGGTGTTCCTTTCTGACTTTTGAATGTCCCTTTTGGTGTCCTATCATATCCCAGATGAATGCTGGCACTCGGTTTTGGGTGGTTGGGGTTTTGGTTACGCACACTCACCATGCCACTCACCGGGTTTGGGTGTAGGTTGCTTCCATTCTGTCGGGGCAGACGAAATGGAGGTTTGATGGGGTTTTGCGGTTGGATTCTTTCTCTACTGTTTCTCTCCCTCTCTCTCATGGTTTTTACTTATTTTGGTTCTTATTTCAAGGAGGCTGAAGTCAGCACAAGAAGATTTCATTCTAAAGAAAGTAAGATGGGTGTGGGACTTTACTCCATTGTTGGAGGTTTTTCTGAATATGTTGAAAGAAATACAGGAGTCAATAGCTAAGATAAATTTAGACACTTCTTTTTTTTTACTCTATTATCATATAATTTAACATAACATTTAAAATCTCTTAAAACAAAATAGAAAGTCCTCTAATATCTTTCACGTGGCATCCTTTTGTAGGGTTACCCTATACAAGAGTTAGTCCACTAATGATAACAAATTTATCCCTATTTGGGGTTGAATTTCTCATTTCTTTCCATTTCTCCATCTCATCTTTTTGTTTCTTTCCCTTGGTGGAAGTTTTTTCTTTAAATCTTTAACAACATTAAAGTACATTAGTTCTCATATAAAATAATAACGATTAAAAAATAACTTACATTTGCATTTCAATTAAAAAGCTAATAATAACATGTACATATAGAGTTTTCATGATAAATCAGTCTAATGCACTTACTTAATTTGAGTCACCCATATATAATACATGTCTTATTACCGAAAAAAGTGTTACACATAATCAATCATTAGTGATTTGATTATAATAACGCTATGAAGAGCCCTTACCGTAAGGAAGAATGAATAGGGACTTTGATTGTCCTTAAATCCATTTCCTTTTTGCAAAACTATGACTTTGTTAAAGTGATGTTTGCAAAAATTTTATCCCAAGGAAATCCAATTGCTTAAGGCTCTAAAGTAAAAAATGAACAAAATTCTTGATATGCATTTAGGGAAAATTTTTGGCTTGATGGCCACCAAAAATTTTAGTAAGATCACTAATTTTAACTGTAATTTTATTAATTTATAATTTTTTTTTGAAATAATTAGTTATAATATTGATTTTTAACCATCAATATTTATTATTTGACTAATTAAATAATAAATATTGATTGTTTTTTAATTATTAAATATTTTTAATAATTAAATTAAGATAAAAATTTAATATTTAATAATTTTGATGGCTTTAACAAAATCATAACCGTAACTAAAAATTCCCCACATGGCGATACAAGAACCAGTAGTTTTCTAAGATTGTTTTGATGAAAAATTAATTTTTTTTTTTTTATAATAATTCCCGAGTGACTTGGGGCAAGATATTACTTTAGGAAGATTTTCGTGTGTCAAGAGTTCGGCTTAGTGGGCTGAGCATGCTTGAATGCTAAGAATCATTGAGAGATAGGCCACAGAAAATACCTCATACAAATACTCCATTTAGTAAGATTAGAAAAACAAAGCAAACAATACAAAGAGTTTATCCACCAAACCACCCAATACCATATGTCATTTTCATCACTTTAGACTTTAAATTAAGCCAACACCACCCTGGTTCACATCAGGAAGAAAGATCACAATCACTGACACTAAACAATCCAATTCGATCCTAGACATCCCATCTCATACATGGAAAATTGAAAAAAATATATATATTACTTATATATATTTGGTGATCCATGGAATCCACAGTCGAATGAAACCAAATCGTGCACTGGTTGCAGAAATCCCAATAATGGGTGAAACTGTGCTTATTCTCTTCAACTAGACTCTGGGACTGGAGCTTGAGATGGAGGCTTCAGGAGGGGCTGTAGGGCCTTTACAACAATGCTCATGTTTGGACGGAACTCAGCTTCATACTGAACGCATAATGCTGCCACAGCTGCCAGCTGCATCAACAGAGAAGAAAACAAAAATGTTTAGGTACCTACAGCAGGTATATGTTTGTAGACTTGTATTTTACCCCCAGAAACCAAGCAATAAAATGGTACAAGAAATGCCAGTGCATGTGTACGCACAGAAAAGAGAGATACCTTTGCAACTCCTTTGGGAGGATACTCTCCATTCAGCCTTGGATCTACACATTGTTTGACTTTATCTTCACTTAGTCGTGGAGTGGCCTAAGTAAACAAAATTTTAATCATTTTAGATCATAAATATTTTGAATTATACTTTTAGGAATAAGCAGAGCTGACTAACTAACCCAGGTAACAAGACTCTGTTGTCCTCGCGGCATGGTGTGATCTACTGGTTTCCTCCCTGTCAGAAGCTCCAGAAGAACAACACCAAAACTGTACACGTCACTCTTTTGTGTCAACTGTCCAGTCATTGCATACCTGCAAATAGAGCAAGCCACAAATTAGTTACAAATAGTCTTTAACTGATACTTCCAATTAAACCCACCTGGATGCATATTGATTTAGCTTTAATTATGTTTATGTAATTAACTGTTTACTTAATTGGTAAAAAATTATTAAATTGTGAGTACCCAAATTAATTTTTGCAACAATAAGATGCCCAGTTCAAAGCTGTAATAACCCTTTTGTTTGATAACAAGAAGAATCCTAAAGGTTTAGAAAGCCTTACTCTGGAGCATGGTAGCCAAAGGTCCCCAAGACTCGAGTAGAATGAAGGCGAGCAGCCATGTCAGGAGTCTGATTTGAAAGGTTAAAATCTGCAATCTTGGCTTTGAAGTCTTCAAAGAGTAATACATTGCTAGATCTGACATCTCTGTGTATTACAGATGGTTGAACCTTCTCATGCAAATATTCCAAGCCCCTTGCAGCATTAACTGCAATTCGTACCCGCTGCATCCAATCAAGCACTGGACCTGGCTGTGCCCCTTGAACCCCCTTCCTTCCTGTAATTGCCACAATAAAAAGTTAATGACTAAAATACAGACCTAGTTGGGCATATTTACTTATCAAAGAAGAATATTCCAATATTCCTGATATTATGAAAGATGGTTCTGCATAAATGAAGCATGTCATGCAATGAATTTAATAGTATTGCTAAAGTTAAAATGATGGTTTCAAATACCATGTAATATGTCATGTAATGATCCCATCGTTGCAAACTCATATGCAAGTACACGGAGATTTCCTTCAACACAATAACCTTGCAATTCGACAACATTTTCATGCTTCAATCTTGAAACCATAGAAACCTAAAAAAGGATGGTTAGCACAGTCAAGTATGCAACCAAAAAATAGTCCAAAATAGAAATCAATCAAATAATTATGAATCCTACTTCTTAACGCACCTGGGTCAAAAACTCAACATTTGACTCGGGCTCAGATGAAACATCAAGCTTTTTAACAGCCACTGCTTTCCCATTATCTAAGTTTGCATAATACACTCTTCCATATGATCCTTCACCAATCAATGCCTTTGATCCAAAGTTGTCTGTCTTTTCTTTTAGTTCTTCCAAAGACAATGCAGGCACCTCTATAGGTGGTGGTGCTGTCTTCTGCACTTCAGCTTTGACAAGAGCTGACACCTTTGACCCCTTTGGTTGTCCTGAACACCCCATGCAAATTGATGTCATATTCAAGATGAAAAGTAATTTAAAGGCATAATAATCTGCTGAATTGTAAAAGTAAAATAGATGCGAAATAGCAGTCAGCCCTG